TCAGTGAAATGAAAATTAAAATCATAATGCTGGAGAGATGGCTCAGCGGTTAAGAGTACTGGCTGTTCTTACAGAGGACCTGGGTTCGACTCCCAGCATCAACCATCATGTTATGACTAACAACCATCCATAACTCCAGTTCCAGGGAATCTGACACCCTATTCTGACCTCCATGGGCATTGCACGACATGGGTATACTTACATATATACAGGCAATACGCTCATATATGTAAAATTAAAAAAAAACGTAATGAGCATCATCCCCCAGTAAGTAGGGATAATAAACAAAATGAAGATACCAAGCATTGGTGAGGGTGCAGAGAAAGGGAAACCCTTCCACAGTTGGTAACAATGTGAGTTAGCACAGCCATGATGGAAAACAGCACGGGAGTTCCTCAGAGAACAAAAAATAAAATAAAAATCGAAGGCTAGAGTATAAGAGGCCTTGATTTTGAGTCCCAGCACTGAGAGAAAGTCTTTATCCATGTGCTCTGTTGGAATAACTGGAATGGCATGTGAACACTGAACTTAAAAGCCGGGCATCCTGGTGCACATCTGAATCCTAACATTCAGGAGATAGAGAGAGGAAGATTGGGAATTCAGGCTAGTTTTGGCTACATTGTGAATTTAAGGCCAGCCTGGGCTATAGGAGATTCAGTTGCCAAAAAAACAGCTATTATAGTTATTATATGACCCAACAATTCCATTGCCAGTTACGTTCAAAAGAAATGAAAAACAACAAAAAAATGTCTGTACTCTCACGTTCATTGAAGCACGACTCAAAGTATTGAAATAGCCAAGAAGTGGAAAGAACACAAGTTGTTCATTAACTTGTGAATGGATAATGGAAATGTGGTTTATACACACGATGGGAAACTATTCAGCCATAAGGAGAACAAAATCCTGTTATTTGCAATAACGCTTGTGGAACTGGAGATTATTATGTCAAATGAAATAAACCAGGCACAGAAAGACAGATGCCGTCTGAGCTCACTCAATATGAAGAATCTAAAGTTGTCTCGTGAAAGTTGAGAGCAAAATGGGGGGTCACCAGAGACCCAAGACAACAGGGTGAGAAGCAGTAATGGGAAAGGTTGGTCAATGGGCACTATCCTGGTTTGCTTTTGGTTGCTGTGATAAAACACCGACCAAAACCAACTTAGGGAGGCAAGAGCTTATTTCAGTTTTCAGGTTACTGTTCATCATCGAGGGAAGCCATGTTAGGAACCGAAGCAGTGACCATGGAGGAACGCTGCTTACTGGCTTGCTTCCTTTTGGCTTGCTCAACTATCTTTCTTATACAGCTAGGCTTACCTTCCCAGGGATGGCACTGCCCACAGAGGGCTGGGCCCTCCTAAATTAACTAGCAATTAAGAAAATGCTTCCAACTGGGAATGGTAGCATACAACTCTAAGTCCAGTAATAGGGAGGCAGAGGCAAGTGGATCTCTGTGAGATTGAGGTTGCCTGTTCTACATAGTGAGTTCCAGGCCAGCTGGGACTACAGGGAGACTCTGTCTCAAAAGAAGAGGAGGAGGAGGAAGAGGAGGAGAAAAATGCCTCACAGACAAACACCCACAGACCAGTTGGATTCAGAAAATTCCTCAGCTGAGGTCCTATTCCTAGATGCCTCTAATTTGTGTGTGTCAGTTGACAAAATCCACCAACTCAGATACTAAGATATAGTTATAGAAGCAAGGTAATATGTTCATGATGTTTGTGTGGGTGTGTGTGCTGTGGTATGTGTATAGACGTCAGAGGACAACTTTGGGAGTCAGTTCTTTCCATCCATCATTGGGGGGTGTCCAGGGATGAAGCTCAGGTCATCAGGCTTGTGTGGCAACTGCTTTTATCTGCTTAGCCATCTTGCAGACCCTAGAATGGACTTTAAGATGGGAGTTTTATATAAAAGAAGTAATTTTAAATAGCGAAAGAAGATTGCATTACCAAACAAGAATGATTGAAAAATTGTCTGTTCAATACAATAAATCATTAAGTAAACCAATAATCAAAAGGGGGAGAGAGTTATTAGAAAAAGAACAAGTTCATGCTTACATGTCTCTGAAACTTGCTACTATGTGAACTGATCATTTCTTTCCATGCAGCTACAACTTGGGCTCAGTCAGAATCCTCAGGATTCTGTTGTCATACTCGGAAGAGTTGCTTGCTTTAGAAGCATACTTCAAAGTAACCCAAGCCACAAAAGGAGATTTGTTGGAAGGACACATTGGGTATTTCTCAACTTATGTAGGTGTCATGGAACATGGGGAAATCAAAAACATTTCTGTCCTCTTTTTCTCTGATCACAATCCTCAGGAAAAGCGTAGTGGAACATTGGTAGAGCAGATAAGCCACATTATGTGAATATATTGCAGGTGAGTTTTAAGTGATAATAAATGAAGTCTAAATTGTGATGGACAGGTGGGTGACTGAAATGTGAAAAGTGGAGATTCAAAGGTAGGGTCAGTGAAAGGACTATGATGTAGTCACTTGACAAAGACCCCGCCTCTTAATGCTGCTGCACAGGGGAACTAAGCCTGTAACACAGGTGCTCTTGAGGGATATTTAAGATCCAAGCTATTATGCTAAACGATCAAGCTACTGTCTAAGTTCATCTCCTCCACAAGATTGGTGTGCCATGTCTACAGCATGCCAAATGCATGTAGTGAGGACGTTAGAGCTGACATGTTTGCACTTTGGTACTTACCAGTTAAACTTTATGCCTTTTAAGAATAGTTGTCTTTGATGGGAAGACGGCTCAATGGTCAAGAACACTTACTCTGAAAGAGTGAGGAACTAAGTTTGAATCCTCAGCATCCACAAAAAAGCAGAGCATGGCTGTACATGCCTGTAACTCTAGCACTGGCGTGAGGGTCAAGATAGGAAGATCCTGAGATCTTGCTGGCTAGCCAGTCTAGACAGAATGGTGTTTCTAGTCCAGTGAGAAATGCTGTCTCCAGACAACAGGAGAGCAACAGAAGATCCCCAGAGTCCTGCTCTGGCTTCCACATGCATGGACATGGGTAAATGCACCCTCACACTCATAACACACACACACACACACACACACACACACACACACACACACACACCCGACATGCAAAAAAAAAAAATAGTTGTTTTGCCAGGCATGGTGGCTCATGCATGTAATTCTAGTACTCAGGAGGCTGAGGCAGAAAGATTTCAAGTTGGAGGAAGCCAACTATAGTGCATAGTGACACTGTCTCAGAAAAAGTAATGCAAGCTTTCAACAGTTTATGTCAGCTATGATTATTATAATTATGCACTTTCAGACAAATATTAATGATGGAATGGTCATATGACCATACAGCATAGCTTTAATTTTTGTTAAAATAATTTAGAATGATTTAGAATAATTTATCTGAATGTATACAATAAGAATCATTTAAAAAGATAAAGTTCTGGGCATGGTGTCACACACCCTTATCCCAGCACTCAGGAGGCAGAGGCAGACAGATCTCTGTGAGTTCAAGGCCAGCCTGGTCTACATAGCGAGTTTCAGGCCAGCTGGGGCTGCAGGGAGACCCTGTCTCAAAAAGACCAAAAAAAAAAAAAAGATATTTAAAAAGGTTAAAAAAAGGTCAGTGGTATGTATTAGGAGTAGGCAAGATAGCTGTAAAAGGTTAGGGAGAATGGGAAAAGGTCTAGACAGATACTGCATTTAGGGTTTGTCCCACAAGACCCTTCTGACAGGGCTCAGATCAAGGCGACCCCAGACCCAGAAACCATGAGGCTCCTCAGAGAACCTGAGTCAACCAACTCCCAGCCACCTGCCAATTAACAAAAGCAGCCCCTGGGAAATTAACGACCAATGTATTGTGATCATCAGAGCATGCCCCACAGGCTGACAAACAGGTTTCCCAAGCCCTTAGCTGCAGTCAATTCCTGGAACTCTGTAATAGTAGAAAAACATTTTACAGTAACTGTTTTCCCCAATATGCTTCACCAGGTACAGACCCCACGCCCTCCATTGAGCAAGCAGCCCCCCAAACAGTCCCAAACAGCAGAAAAATATTCTCTTTTTCCTCATTCTTCCCCTTTACAAGATACCCCTCTGTAGCCCTTAAGCTGCTGGTTCTTCCTCACACCCTAGTTGAGGACCAGCCCAGCCAAACCCAATTAAACTCTCGCTTTACCGGAGTCCTCTTTATTTCTGTTTTGCGGTGATTCCGACCCCTGCCACCTTTCTATCTAACACCTTCAGGCTCTAGCTCGATTGTAAATAAATATTAACTCACTTGGGCATGGTTTACTCAAGAAAAGACATCTGTAAACTTGTAGATTTCCCTTTAGTCACCCACTTTGATGGAGTCTTTCAACATGAGATGGGGGAATGCTTAAGCAGAAACACTGTGGATTCAGGGGCTTTTGCCCACAATGGCACAGAGGGTCCAGGACAGAGGAAAGGCTAGGGTAAGCAAGAGTGTGGTAGGATAGACAGTAGCCCCTAAGGACATCCAGTGACTGAATAGGGAGAGGTGTGCAGCAGATCTGCACTGGTCCTGGGGCAGGGGGGTGGGGTGGAGTGGGG